CTCAAAAAGGTTGCCTACCCCTGATTTAGATCCTTTGCTACAGGCCCCTAGGTTTTACTGTTGACTTATTCACGGGTCATATCAAAATCCAAAATTTTGTTCCCAAAACCTGCCCTCGACTTATACATGAGGTCGACTTACAGTCCAAGTATATATGGAAAATTACAAATGAGTCTCAGTTTACATTGGGTAAATTTGTGTACCTGGGTTTGCAGTGTAAATTGATTGTGATGTAAATGAGGGGAGATAATTCTAGGGTATCTTGAGAGAGCATTGCTCACCCTCCACTTAAGCAAGCAGTGGCAACTTGTGCCAGCTACACCAAAACTCTCAAATTCAAGTTTATTTACCCCTCTCACATACCCCTTCTAAGCAGGCAAAGGAAGCCCCTCCCTTCCAGAAATTATAAGACAACAGTTGCTTTTTCTCCCTCTCTACTCCCCCAAACTCGGGGCAAAACAGAGGAGCAGCCAGAGGCCCCGATCGCCATGAGACTGCAGCGACCAGATGCTGGGGTCCCAAGTGCAGCTGCTTTTGCAGTCCTAAATGGGCTGTGAAAAGGAGTAGTAAGGGGCGATTCAGGGATGTGCGTCATGCGCATGCCCAGTCCCCAGATTGGCCCGACATAGCCCTTTTGGGCCGCCTGTTTGAGGTCCTAGTCAGGTAAAGAAATTCAGCTTAAAACCCTGTGCCAAAACTCTGAATAATTTCATTCTTCATCGTGGTCTCTGTGCCTCAGACAAATCGCTTTGTGCCTGCACAGAAACTCCATTTAGAATATTTTAGAGCAGCGTAGCTTGGCGGGAACACACCATTCCCTCCCACCTACCACACGTGTCCTAGCCTACCAAAGTACTGTCAGGGCCTTTGCAGACTGCCAGAAACAATGCAGCTTGAGTCCACTTTAATTGCCCTGGCTCAGTGCTAGGGAATCATGGGAACTGTAGTTTATTGTGGCGCTGGAGCTCTCTGACAGAGAAGGCTCAATGTCTCAGAAGAAACCACAGCTCCCATGATTCTCTAGGACTGAGCCAGGACAGTTAAAGTGGACTCAAGCTGCATTATTTCTGGCAGTCTGTAAAGGCCCTCAGTTTCCATCCGCTAGCTTCTCTTCAGATGTGTTCCCCTGTACATTTTTCCACCGCAACTCCTTGCTCAATTATATAGTAACACTGGGAAAGTTATGTATTGTGGGTGAGACGTTATTTCTTTCTGGAGAAACATTGTAATTTGAAATGTAAAAATTGAGGTAGCACAATTTGTGTCTTACCTGGATTACTAAGAAATACTGTTATAGCTGCTTAGACAATAATGTATAAATATATCCATGCTGTCTCTTGCAGAGATAATTATCTAGTATAGTAATGGTTAAAGTGTGAAGCAATTTGACTATGCATAACTAAGGATTTAAAAAAATATAGTTATACATTCACTGTTTGCACTGTAAATGTTTTGAGAAATTGGAATATTTGTGAATACAGTGTGCCCTTAGTATTCACTGGGTTTTTGTTCCATTTTTCACCATAGATACCAAAATCCATGGATGCTCAAGTACCATCATATATAATGGTATAGTAAAATTGTGTCCTTCATATAAAAAGGCAAAATCAAGGTTGGCTTTTTGGATTATTATTATTATTATTATTATTATTATTATTATTATTATTATTATATTTTTGAATATTTATGGATATAGAATACTGATTGCACTGGGACCGCGGTGACCACTTCCAAAGCGGGCCGCTGGTACAGTCCCAAACCAGTGCTAAAAGGAGCGGATTATTTCTGCTCCTGTTTGCAACAGTGCCAGACTCCTTCTGGCAGCATGGGAGCTCCTTCGGCTGCTTTAGGGGCATGCATAATTTGAATGCCATGCCCCTAGCCATCTTATTTGGCGTGTGTGTTTTGGGCCTCTGTTTTTAACTTGATGCTTGTTCACAGAGCACTTATAGTACTATGATTCCAGTTTAACTGCCATGGTTGCTTTCTAAGGAACGTGGGATTTATGGTTTAAGAAAGCCAAAAAGCCATTTCTGGTTTAGAAAATTTCAAATGCTCTTCTCTAAACTGCAAATCCCAGAATTTCGTAGGAAGTTGCCATGGCAGTCATAGAACCATACTGTCTTAATTATGAAGTGTTAAAGAGGCCCCCCTGTGTCTTACCAGATAAGTATATTAAAAGTGTTGTTGAGCAGGGGTAGGCAACATTTCTCCTTTAAGGGCCGAGGGACTTCAGCTCCCAGAATCCCAGGAGCTATAGGCCAACATGGGACCATTGGCCAACATGGCTGAGGCTTCTGGGAGCTGAAGTCCCTCGGCCCTTAAAGGGGAAAGGTTGCCTACCCCTGTTGTTGAGCATCAGTCCCTCCAAAGCAGTTTCCACCCCCATTTCCCATGGCTTTTTCTTAAATGGGAAGTATTTAAGTACTAGAACCTGGGGCCAAACTAGGTCAGATGTTGGCAGCAGAGATCACATCTGAGCATTGCAGTAGAGTGGCATTTCAGAATTATTTCATTCACTCTTTCCCAGTGTAGGTCTTTCCTTTTTCCAAACCTATGCTAGGTAAAATGTAAGTTTCTATACATAAGTTTTCCTTAAAGGAGGAACTAATAGCTAGTTGTGTGCTGATTTTCATTGGGGGAAAAAAAAATGAGAGAAAGGGCTAAAAAGTCCAGTACGATGGTGCCAATCTGAAATGGAACTCTCTGCTACTGATTTTAATTTTAAAAATAAAAATAAAAATTATTTTTAAAAAGCTGGAGGATGCTGTCACAAATATCTAGTTTGACTATCTGCTATCTGCAATATATTTCCAAGTTGCCTTTCACTAGTAAGTAGTTACTTGTCAGTGCTGTCCTGACTGGTAGTTTTAGCTGCTAGTAGTACACAGAGGTTTGTTGCAAAAATTAGATCTCTCTCACTTTCTTTCCATGGGTGCTTCTTGTAATTCATTGCCTAGAAGGTATCCCAGAAGCATGTTTTTTTACACCTAGCTGTGAGATAAAAGGCACTGGTGGTGGTTCTGCTTATTTCATGTTTGAAGAAGTGAGCACATGCCAGTATACCTAAAAATAGCATCTGTCTTGCTGACATGTCCTTGCTTTCCTTCCTTGGGATGGAAATGTAGGCTATGGAAATTTTGCTGGGCACATGCACTGATCCTGATCCTTTAAAACTTATTGGTAAGGGATGGTGCAGTTGCAACATAGATTTTACTGATACTACACAGTCAAGCAAAATCCTCCTATGATCCTGTCAAGGATTGTTAATGGTCACCGTTTCACACTTTCTGGTTTGCATTTTAGACTTTTTGGACAGTCTTATCTGCTGGAACATTCACAAGATTCATCAGCATGCACAAAATGACAGCTTGCATTAGCTGCCATAATACAAACATGACTTGGTTCTACTGGATCATGTAGAGGAATCTAAACCCCTTGGATTGCTGGACCGTATTAGATAGACAGGTGACTTGAAGCGGTGCATATGCACACATATACACCACACCACACACATTAGGTTGGTGTGGAGTAGAGTGACAGTTCTCCCAGTTTCAAGGAAGTAAAAAGAAAATGACCTTCCTTTTCTACACACGAAGTGTGTGGATACATACTTTACATGGAAAATTGTAATTCATTGCATTTTAAAAACCTTCCAATTTGTTAATGTTGGAGATTAGCAGTATTTCTCTTGTTCCAAACATATGGTTTCTGGGGGAAATATTGCAACCCAAGGGTATCTTTAGCTTAAAAAGTAGGATTCTGACTGCATTTGTTTTTCACAGGCTGCAGATGGTACATGCCCATGTTTCCTTAAACATTTTTACTCATACAATTTTACAGCAAATATTGATTCTTAAACACCTATAGTAAAAATTCAGCAAAGGGACACACTTTGATATATTTGACTGATAATTGATCACCCCCTCTTGGAACTGATGCACAAGACTATTTAGATGGTGTAAAAATAAGCATACACATCATCCACACTGCATAAATCTTTATTTCTACATCTCATACTGTTAAATATTTGGCAACATTTTTTTTCCTCACAGAATAGCTTTCTCCCTTTTATTTTTGTTTTTAAGGTGACAGGATGGCTGAAGATGGGCTCACTAAATTAAGCTGTGAGTTTTGGCTGCACAAGACTATTGAGTGGGGTCAAAGCACCACTTCAGAATCTCAGCAAGATGTCTGCCTTCACTTGCCTGAATTGCAGGAATTTCTATTGCAGATTTATGAAGCTTTGAAACATATGGTAAGTGAATTAGCTGGAAGAATGAACTGTTTGGAAGACTGTTACAGAAACATTCTGCACCCCACATTTTGACAAGACAAAAAGCTAACAGTAGCAGAGAGCCTTGTAGTATTGACCTAATGTATTGCTGGATCACAGAAGCGAATTGGGGAAACAGCCACAGGTAATGGAAACAGGAATGTGTTTCCTGTGTTCCTGATTTATTGTGAAAGGAGCTTTTTCTTCTTGATTGGTTATGT